CCTCCGATACCGAACATGGAAAGAAACCGGTATGAGGACCAGTGGCAGAAACCGAGGCAGAAACGGCAAAACGACGCTAGTAACACAAATTTACACCGGTTCAACTGAACAGGAACCCCCGGACACCCACCCCGACGGGTCCTCGCATCCCGGACCAGGAACCCAATACTCACAGGTCACCCTTAATCGCACCCGAAAAAGAGCAGGAATTAAGATGCCCTGCCCAAAGATTTTTTTTTCATTTATTTCCGTTTTATTTTGCTTTACCCTACTACTCAAATAATTCCAAAATATTTATGTTTATTTTAAACATGAGAAGCATGTTTAAAATAAACATATTTATTATTGTTCGCATAGCTGTCAAACCAAACAAAAATAAATACGTTTATTTTCAACATGAATATTTTTGAAATAAACGTAACATTATTTTTATTTTAAACATTGATTTCACATGACTTCAAACATGGAATACGTTTGAAATCAACCTAATTTATGTTTGTGGCCAGAACAAACTGAGTTTACGTTTAAATTTACCTCAAATATTTTTGTTACGGCGATAGTTTTTTCTGCGTGAATGTTTTACTTACGACACCAAAACTGAACATGTGTTCAAAGTTGTCTTGAAAGGTCTGCCCAGTGGTTAATCCCTGGATCAGATCAAAGATGAATTGGCAAAATTACTTGAGTTCTGCCAGTCCAAGTAATCAAAATGAAATCCCGTTCTGGCGATTCACGCAAGGGGATTTCCAATGATTTTTATTTAGTTCACTTCAAGTCTAGTGAACTACACATTAATCCAATCCTGATTAATGTGGGCGTCTTAGTGGAATACCTGTATAATGAGAGAGAGAGAGAAGGATTAGTATTTTCCATTTAATTCCACTACTTTATTTGCTTATCCTTGATAGATACGCGTATTTCGTCTACAATGTGCAGACTTCTTCAGTGTCTTATACTAATACTCGACTCAGGATAAGTAAATAAAGTAGTGGAATTAAATGGAAAATACTAATCCTTCTCTCTCTCTCTCTGTCTCTCTCATTATACATTAATCCAGTCAGTAAGATTTTACTGGGTTTTTGAATTGCGGAACAGTTCGGTAAAAGTTGAAGAATTTAATAATGATAACAATTATTCCAAACTTGTGCAGACTTAGTTCTGTTAACCCCATTTAATGATAGGAAATAAAATTTGTCTTCCGGAACATCAAACCGTGATTTGGCAACGTAGGTATCTGCTTTGCGTCTGCCTTGATGTAGGTTTCGTCATCCATAACCACACACATCGGTTTCGTTAACCACTCTAGATACAGCTTCCTTGCGCGGGATTTGGCCGCCGTGTTTTGTTGATCACGCCAGTTCGGTGCCTTCCGGACCTTGAATACACGAAGCCCAGCTCGTTTCATGGTTTGCTGAACGCCAGGCGGAACACTTTCCCTTCAGAGCCGCGTCGCGAATCGAAAGGTTCGGATTACGCTTGAAATAATCCAACACCTTCCGGGCCTTCACGGGGTCAGCTGTCTTCAATTTTCTTCCACTTCCAGCCCGCCGCTCGGTCCACGATTTTACCACCCGAGACACAGTTGTATGGGTGATTCCCAGTTGTCTTCCGATCCATCTCATGGTCGGAGTCGGATTTTCCATGACGGCGCACAAAATTCTCCGGCGATTTTCTTCTTGTTTCGATGACATCTCAATAACCACTGAACAGATTGTTATGAAAATTTGCACATGTTAACAATTTACTCTAAACTAGTTATACCCAGATTTTCATCAATGTTTACCCACGGATAAACAAGTTACACACGGATACAAATGGTGCATTTCTTTTTCGAGTACAAGGCTTATGAAAGGGCTAGACGCCCCCACGCAGATTTTTTTTTTTTAAATATGTATGGACCGTTAACACTCCTACAAATTCAAATCGCACCAAAATTCGTTCATTTTTGACACAGTTGACCTCAATACAAATCAAAAAATAAGTTGAAGTTGACCCACCCTATTGAGCATATCGACGTTTGAGCGTTTTATGAATTTCCAACTGGAGTGAATACATGGGTTTTGAAAAACGGGGTTCCCAGAGATCAAGTGTGTCCAGTTTCCCCCAAAAATATTAGCAGAGCTGCAGCGAAGGTGAAGAGAAGATCAGCAATCTATACAATTAATTGTGATTGCAAACATATTTTGCCGAGATCTCAGCAAACTAACGCTTTTGCTGAGCCTCAGAACACTCGGCTATGTACCTAAATATCAGCAGAAAATTGTCGAACTGGTGAAAACAAAACTAGCTAGATGAGCTGGAGATAATTGTATGAGTTCTTGGTTAAGTGGTTAAGAGTCCCACACAAGAAGCAGTCACTCTATAGCCTTTTAAAGGCCATACATTACTAAAAAAAAAACGCGCACTACATGCATGACTGAACCAGCTTTTTTCTTATTTAATAGATGAACTAACTATACCGGGCAAGTGAAAATAAATGACCACCAAGCATACCTTTCCAAGTGTTTCAGAACTTTTCTACGCGAAATACACTACAGTGACAGTATAAAATTTGTCAACACCAAAAACCACTTCCCGTGGCAGGATGCAACAATTACGGCCTGCGTTGGCGGTAATGGAGTTAATTATTTCATAAACAAAGTGAAGGTGTGCTTTATTTACAGAAATTACGTACAGAAAACTGGAGGACCACAGAGTAACTGAGCCGTTTTAGATGCTGCTTGATGTTGTGCAATGGAAAATTTTCAGACAGGGTAGTTTTTCGATGGAACTGGCATATGGGAAAGTTTTTTGAGATTCTACCTCTTGAGGGTGTAGGAACAATGTACACATTTTAACTTCGCTTCTATTTGATGTGTCAAGGTCGGTATCAATCTGATAACTAGTTTTTAGCATGGAAAAATTTCTAAAATATCCATTTCAAGACCATTGAATCTTTGTGACTAGGGAAGCCATCGTACTATCTCCCATATTGAACCTTTTTGTGTTTATCCTTCCACAGATTCTTACATGCGGTCTGGTTTGTTCAACAATGCAATAAATTTAATATATCGATAAATATTTATTAGTCAATCAATCCAATACTTGTCACTATGTTGGGGGTGGACAAAGCAACTGTAGTTTTAACTGGCTTCTAATAGAAGATGCATCATCAAATCCTTGCCTTACGGGAAAGGATTCTGGACGCGCTTTTCACAATAATGTTGAATTGTGAAGGATGTGGCTGTCGGTGGTGTGTACTTCAAAGCAATCATACCTTGAGGAAATGTTTGTCAACATCTCAAATAATAATCGTTCGGAATCATCCGGAGGGTAATTGTAAGCAAATGATAGCCGTTTCCAATTTGGTTGGGAAAATCAGCCGTATCAGGTTGATGAAAAGATCAATTGTGTATGTACAGATAATGCCTTGGCATTGTTTGTATTTGATCGTTTGAGAAATTAAAAATAAATAATGTTTGGGGTGGTACAGTTGAACGTGACATGCTTTCAACGACAAAATTCAAATGGACCAGTCGAGCCAAAAAAAAAAACAATGGAATGAAATCGAAGTTCGTTAAATAAATACTCAGTTCTATGCATACATTTCGCGTAGTATTTGAAAGGGCCTATCGGCATTTATAAACAAAAGTTGTAATGCTCTCGCGTGGGCAAACCAACAACACAATGGAGTGGAAAATTTTCCCCTTTCCGGTAGTATTCTTGGTTTGTGTAGGCGAGCTTCGGTTCGCTGTAGAAGGGAAGCTCAGAGATCTCAGTTGTTGGTTTCTTGGCAAATTAAATATGTTTATTGTAGTTTTCATTTCAATTTGTTATATGTTGGCGTCAACATTAAAATATCTTCTTCTTATTCTTGGCATTTCAAGCTTATTGCTTATCACATATTAGCTTATTGCGTGCTCTCAACTTAGTGTTCCAGATGCACTTTCACAGTTATTGCCTGTACCATTTTTGCAATCGTATAATTGAGTGGCAAGTAGTACAATCATACTATATGCCCAGGGAAGTCCAAGAATTTTCTTCTTAGACCGTTCCAGGAATCGAATCCAGCCACCTCCAGCATGGTCTTGTTTTTTAGCTACGTCTTTACCGACTGACTAAAATATGCAGACAATTAAAACAAAGAATTAGCCTCCTGAACATCCAGATTATTTGACAACATTAAATCTAGAAAAAAAGTCATACATTAATTTCACAAACCAAATAAGGCATATATACCCAGTAGGAATATAATCAGCCTAGAACATGAAGAAGCATCTTGAACTTTAAACATATGCAAATCATTCCAATACTGGCTAGTTTTGCTGAAATTTTCAAAACATATTCCTGTGTAGAGCGCGTTTTCAATCTTCATTCACTGTTCTGAATCTACTAGGTAAATGGGAAGAATCATAAAACTTCTACCATCGACTGAAGCACAGGATGTAAGATAAGTTTTCGACACTTTCACTCGGTTTAGCAAAATCGTTCCACCAACCAGCGCCGTATGGTCGCACGATACGAAATCGATGTGAATGTAAAGCATATCTAACTAGTGCTAGTCTATCCTATAGGTAAGTTGTTCTGAACTATATTACGCTTGCCATGCGTTCACGATAGTGCAGACTATATGAAATGTCAAGCAAGGGAGTACTTTTGCATATGAGGGTGCAGACCAAACGGGAAATTCGAGGTGGAAATTGGCGATATAATTTCAAAAGCGAAAATTGAATCCTGAAAGCGTGTACTGCTAGTCACCATTCTTCAAAAGAATATGTGGAGGAGGCGGACAAATTTAGCCAAGATTAAAGAGGGATCAAATAGCGCAATAGATCCCTGAAGTGATTATTTTGAGCAGCATTATATCGCTTCCTATGTAATTCTCGCCTGGAGACCATTAAGAATTACACCATCCAGCAATTTCCCTCTCTTGCATGTCCATGTCTTAGTACTTTTATTCCACTTAATTTGCAATAAAACCTAACGATTTTCTTCAATCTATTTCTCACTTCACTTCACAGGTTACAAAAATGTCTGTCTGCAAATTACTGTTCTTGGTGGTTTTGTGCTCCGTCGTGCTATGCTGTCACACATCCAGTGCCGGTCCGGCACGTCAGTTGGCCAGTCTGGCAGCGCGTGCCTCAAAGATTCCCCGTTCGATACGAGCACCGTTTCGGAACTCGGAAATGATGACCGCAAGAGGATTTGGAAAACGTCGAGCCCCAATCGGTGCCAATGTGGGTGGAAGTAGTGGCACCAGCGGCGTCAAGCACATGATTGAAGATGCTCCTTGGGGCTACGACAAGCAAGAAGCAGGAAAGCTTATTGAAGAGCTCACGGCCGACAATTCCGATTCGGTGCAGCAGATAATGGGTGAACAGGAAAGGTGAGTAAAATTAATGGTGGGGTAAATCTAGAGGTTGATTCAATATGGAGAAATTATGGTTTTAAAAAACCTAACAAGGCAAAATGGATTAAGGTCATTTGAATAAATTGCATTCCGGCTCTTAAATGTTGGTTGAACTTAGAGAATAATCAAGCATGGATGCTATCTGGACAAAAAGGGTAGATTATATTATCATTCTCATTCGTCAACATATTTAAGGTAACGGCGCCGGTGGTATAGTGGTAAGCGTGATTACCTCTCACCCCAGCAGGCCTGGGTTCAATCCCAGTCGGCGCCGCCGGGATGTTCTGAGGCATAACATCTCTGATCACGCCTTCCTTCGGATGGGAAGTAAAGCCGTTGGTCCCCGGTTCATGAGTTGATGGGTCGATAGGTAGGGTCCAGGTGTGGGAGCTGCCTTCCTGGCGTCGGTAGCATTGGTGCTCAGCACGGAAAACAAGATCGACGGAAAAAACAAACCAAAGGAAAAAAAAAAAACATATTTAAGGTGATATATTTCTTTCTTCAGAAAAGTTGTATCGAAATAAAGTACAATCAACACTCCCTAGCTCGATACTGAAGGAATCATCAAGCTACGGAGTTGTATTTTCAAAATTGATATGGGAAAAGTGATTGAAATTAGAGATAGGCAATAACGTTTTCACAGAACGATTCCTAGTCTAAAAAGAACCATGTAGTTATTTTGAAAAGATCTTCCGTTCTTTTGAAATACAGATTTTTTCCATTTAGGAAATTGTTTGCTCATTGCCGCGGTTTGAAAAGGTGGCGGCGTGACATTATCCTTTCGATATAGCAATTATAGGAATAAGAAGTATCAAATACCGCAGCTATGGGTACACGGTTTTTGTAGATGGAGAAGAAAATATCAGTAACATGATACATCATACATAGGAAACGCAACAAGTTGGATTGTATATGGTTGCAATTGCATTTAATGTAATTTTAAGCTATGAACTTTGTTCAGTTTGGAATGGATGAGTTTGTTTGTTTACGATTCGTTTATTGCCGTGGTTGTTAGTAGGGATGCACACACGGTTCGAAAAAGTAGTGTAAATTTCTGTTTAATATGATGCACATAAAAGAAGCGTCACATATCATCTAAGTTTACAAGTTCTGAGACATTTCATGACATGTTGCAAATATTGTATACAACAGCCCATATTTGTAAACAACATTGCTTACAAGTTGCTCGTTTGCGTGAAATGAAATACAAGTTTACGTGAATGAATGTTTACATCACAATTATAATACAGAATTTTTTGCTGTGCATGACACTGCAAAGTTCACACATCGTTGGCCATTGCTGTTCGATACGGCATACAGGCTGTTCGGCCCGATTACCGGTCTGCACATTGCCTCCTGTCCTGCCCTAGTTTGCATTGGCAGTATTGCTAGAAACCACATACGCATAGGTTACCAAGGTACACGCTATTCCATAACTCCGAAATTTGGGTAGAATCCACCCAGATCGGCGAAAACTGGACCTACCCTGAACTAAAGTACCAAGCGAAATGAGAGCGGAAGCGGACCGGCAGTGGCAAGCCTGATCTGAGTATGCCTATTTGTCGAATTGAAAACTAGTTAGAACTAGAGAGGGTCTAGTATAAGAGAGGAGCGGACTGGCTGGTTTTGAGCCAAACAAACTGTCAAAGCCAGAGCCAATCGAGTAGCACCTATCTTTATTGCAGATTGCAAACTGCCACGGCAGTTTGTTTTAAATCCGCTCCTCTCTTATACTAGACCCTCTCTAGTTAGTACCAGATCGACTTCGGTTAGGCATCTTGATGTCATTTGTGACAACTGCCAACTTCCGTTTCCGTTTCCGTTCCGTTTCCGTTCCGTTTCCGTTCCGTTTCCGTTCCGTTTCCGTACCGTTTCCGTTCCATTTCCGTTCCGTTTCCGTTCCGTTTCCGTTCCGTTTTCGTTCCGTTTCCGTTCCGTTTCCGTTCCGTTTCCGTTCCGTTTTCGTTCCGTTTCCGTTCCGTTTCCGTACCGTTTCCGTACCGTTTCCGTACCGTTTCCGTTTCGTTTCCGTTCCGTTTCCGTTCCGTTTCCGTTCCGTTTCCGTTTCCGTTTCCGTTCCGTTTCCGTTCCGTTTCCGTTCCGTTTCCGTTCCGTTTCCGTTCCGTTTCCGTTCCGTTTCCGTTCCGTTTCCGTTCCGTTTCCGTTCCGTTTCCGTTCCGTTTCCGTTCCGTTTCCGTTCCGTTTCCGTTCCGTTTCCGTTCCGTTTCCGTTCCGTTTCCGTTCCGTTTCCGTTCCGTTTCCGTTCCGTTTCCGTTCCGTTTCCGTTCCGTTTCCGTTCCGTTTCCGTTCCGTTTCCGTTCCGTTTCCGTTCCGTTTCCGTTCCGTTTCCGTTCCGTTTCCGTTCCGTTTCCGTTCCGTTTCCGTTTCGTTTTCGCCCAAATTGCGCTAGGGCCTTAAGTTGGAAATGACAATTTGAGCATTTGTCATCTCCAACTTAGATTACCCATTTTTGGGTGGGTTCAGTTTTGACCAATCTGGGAGGATGCGACTCAAATGTGGGTAGTTTTGAAATAGCGTGTAGTTCGTTTTGAAATTAACTTTTATTTTATCAAATTCGTTCGTAGCATTTAACTTTTTTAACTCAGGCAGATGACGCAAATGTGCCCGTCTTAGATGGTGTGAGAAAATGGGAAAGTTGCCAGTCTTGTTGATATGTTGTCTTCGATATTTACGTAAAAGGCAGATTTTTTTTGCTTTGCGTGAGAAGCGTCCTTGTTTTATGCGGGAAATGGGCATATTTCGTTGGGGCAAGGAGAGGGAAATGGGCTTAAAATTATGTGACGTCCAACGAGAAAAAATATGAATTAATAAGGCCATTCAAATAAATCGTATAATCCTATTTGTGCAAACATATCATTAAAACTTAACATTTTTACAATCTTCGGAAAATTTAACTAGTATTTTATTTTTTTGATAGGTGTGACACCATGTGACAGAGGGAAAAGAGAGGTGCAAAACATGCTAAAATTTTATGGACGTCATATTTGAATCGCCCTTAGTAGATAGAAAGAAGAATGACAAATATTTTGAACATTTCCTGCAAAAAGGTGGAGAGCGATGCGAGTAGATGGATTTAGATGCAAGAGATGGAAAATGATTTTCTCGTAGATTGACTGCTCGCTAGCGTGAGATTTCTAAAATTTCTAATATTGATAATTAGATGTGTCGCAGCCCTACACACTTAGAAAAAATCATGTAAATTTAGGTGCTCTGAAAGTGACATATACGAGCGTCAATTTTGACATAAAGTTGAGTCATAACAGACGCGAAATATACCTCAATCAAACGTACTTTTCGTCGAGCAACGACCTTTTCAGTCTCGGAGCACTTAATATTACCTGACATGTTTGTTTACGTCTCATTCTTTATGTCAAAGACGGATTCCGTCACGTTTAAAATTAGTTATTTCTAAGTGTGTAGGTTCAAACCTAAGGCAAGACAAGATAGCTGAGTATAGACCATACGATGTAGTTGCTAATTGGTTGATTTCGTTTTGCTGTTGCTATTTGTTTTGATTTATTTAGCAAGGATAATTATCAGAAGGGACTTGATGATCCAGTCAGTCTAGAAATATTAATATCGATACTTTGAAATGATCTAGTAGGCAATTTTACAATACAAAATTACATTTTAACCTGCTGTTTTACGAAATGCATATTAAGTTTTTTTTTATAATGAGACAACCATTTTCAACTTATTTCTCATTAATTTCAGTTTCCCATTGGATTGGTTTGCCAACGAAATGTCAACAAATCCTACCTTGGCGAGGACAATTCTGCAACGTTTCGTAGACAACAACAAGGACGGTCTCCTGACGACGAACGAGTTGCTCAGCTCTGGCGTTAGTGATAGCAACGATATGTTCTAACTTCCCGGCATGTACATCTTTAAAACCACCCGGGACTTCCTTAATCCACCGATGTATTTAAAAAAGGTTCTCAGAAAAACAACACAACATTACCCGAAAATTCTTTCGAAGTCGATAACACTTGAAACTGTTCAACGTGGCTGGATGAACACAGAGAGAAGGTCTTGTAAATTGAAGCAAAACTGAATGTTAGCTTTTCAAACAACTGATTTGATCATGGATGGTGATTCCGTGAGACATTAGGTACTAGAGCAACGGCGAAAAAAAAACAATGTTGATTTGTGATGTAGATTAGTTTATATGTAGAAGTACGGCATAAGGATTACGTTTATGAGTTACAGTTCAATTTGGAGGGGCATAAAGGTTGTTAATAGAAGTTTTACCATGATTGATAGATTTGAGCGAAAGACGAAAACTTGAAAATAGCCGATGCTGGCTGGATATTGAGTTATTTTTGAGATTTCGTCGGAAACAATGCCAAATGAATACTCACACGTTGATCAAGAAATATTTATATATAAGCCTGTTTGTGAAGCATCGTAAGCATGATAAGTTCTAAATTAACTTGATGATTAAAAACAGAGAGAAAGCTACCTTACTAGAGAGAAGATATCAAAACAATGTACTGTATTATACATAATTAAACTGCAGTGAAGTTATATTATGCAAGGAAAACTTACAAAATGCAATTGAAAATAAAACTTGAAAATTACTGTAAAGCGATATTTCTGTACGTGAAACTTTCTCCATGCGCTGGAAAGGCATTCTCGAGGCTTGCAACGGGAACAGAAAGTTTTTCTTGGTGAAAAGCATTTGCGGAAAAACCATTGCGTGCATCCTTACTTTCTAAACAACATTGTTTGCAGTAACGATGGATTTGCTTCTCACTTATCCTGTGCGGTTCATAATATTCCATCCTATGCATCATCATTTAGACTATGCTGACAAGCGATTAGTTTGAAGGTGAAATTGAAATAAAGATTAGAAAATAGGTGAACATTATAAGATCAATTTCACTTCACTGAACCGTTGGGTTCATGATTGTCACACCGTAAATGTAGCTGTTGTTTTTTTTATTATTTGGTCCCTTTATTTAGATTCACATATCGCATGAAAATTCTTATTTGAAATGAATGTTGTGGGAGCTCTGCAAGTTTAGGCTCCTGAAATGTGTGTTCCACATGTGTGTCCAAATAGATACATAGGGGTAAGAGGAACATTATGCTCCACACGTAAAATGAACTGTTTTGTTTATGCTAGTTAAATAATAAATCGTTGGTTCCATGTTCCAGGCACATGATTTAAATAATTGGCTGGTCGAAAATAATAATTTTACAATAAATTTTATGTAAAGCATCTAAAAAAGAATAAGTAATAGACGGCATGTCATTACAATAGAACAAGCACCGTCAATCAAACAGATGGATGTTTGTTGTTTGATCACTAATTTTAAGCACTAAAATTTGGTTTATGAACAAGCCAGTTTTTCATCCTGATGAATGTGGACATCTATAGTGGATTACACGTATAAAAAATAGAAAAAGAGATGGATTAGTATTTTCCAATTACTAATTTACTACAATTTGTCATCGTTCCAAGGAATTCAAGACATCAGTGTTAATGTCGTTAAGCTATCAGATAATCCTATTGTTCGCACTGTTTTGTCGATTCAAGATCTATTTACGCATTAAAATAAATCACATAGGGGAAATGACTCAAATGTTGGCCGGCCTATGGATCTAAGATTGGGGCCATCGCTAAAAATCGGCTAATCATCAGTTTTATCTACACAGCTAAAAAAAAGTAGTGTACATTTCCGTTACTATGATGCACATAAATGGAGCGTCATAAATCATACAAATTTACATTATAAATCGTGAAAATTTATGAGACATGTCATGCAACATTCCATATATTGTATGCAACTTTCCTCCTTTGTTTGCAACATTTCTTGCAAGCTGCTAGTTTACGTGAAAAGGAAGTTTACATGCATGAATGTTGTCATTGGGACGGTACTATTGCTGAATTTATGAATGGGATCAAATTAGGGGCATTTTGGCCGTCATTTCATCCATTTCCCCTAAATATAGTTTTCATATATTGAAAAAACACTGCAATAGAATTTTGTTTGTTTTAAATCACAAGCAAACTATTGAAAGATTTTACCGTGATTCCACCTACACGTACGAGTATGGAGTTATTAACGCTTAAATTGGAAGCGCTGTTTGGTACATTACTTAACACTTGAAGAAAAAATAGAAAATATTTCGTCTTGCTTCAGGATACTGCATTCAACAGTTTTTAAGGTTTGAACTGAACGATTTTTAGCCACTAGCTCTTTGAGGTTATTATGCATTGAAACAGGGCCTTCCTTAGTTCAGTCGGTAAAGGCACAGCTAAAAAGCAAGACCATGCTGGAAGCGGCTGGGTTCGATTTTCGGTCCGGCCTAGGAATATCATGGGCTGAAAAAATTCCTGACCCTGGGAATAGAGAATGATTATACTAGCTACAAAATATATACGAATGCAAAAATGGTACAGACTTGGAAAGCTCTGAATTAAGAGCTGTGGAAGTGCAAAGTCCTAGTGAGATCATGCACACTAAGATCAGATAGGCCAATATAGATTAAGTTTACCTAGATTGGGCCTGCGGACGAACCTAAATATCGGTAAATTTTTAACCCAAATATGAGTAAATTTAAGTCAAATGTGCATAAAACTAGCTCAATAACACAATTCACCCCCTGTTACGCCAAGTACATGTATCCTAAACATGTGAAATTTTGATTAAAAACACTCTTGTTATGAAAATGCGAAAGCTGCATTTTTTTTCTGTATTTGTTGGTTTTGTTATATATGCAAAAGACATGTATTAAAAAACTGTTTTATGAACTAGTTGCATTAACTTTACACAATAATTCATTTACATTTGAACCATTTTTAAAAACTGTCGCATAATTATGGTGTCGCATTACGAAAAAAATAATTTTGATTGTCAAATAACATACTTTAGGAAAGTTATATTGCAGATACTCTTAGTACTCGACAAGACCATTCTTGGCACATGTTTGATTACACAATTAGACCATTCGTTCCAAAGTTACAATGGGTACAACATTATGGTGTCTCATTACGAAAATTCAATGAAGATGTAAGATCAAAAAATTGCTTTGTAAGTAGGACAATTTATGTTTTCTGTAGTCAATAAAGGAGCAAATTACATTACGTTTTAGGTGAAGGGCTTTACGTCTCCGGTCATAAAATTTGAGCTAATATGTTATTATTTTTATAAATACGGAACAAGTGATCTTTTTCAAGTAGTAAAACCTGGGACTTGACGAATGGATTGCGATTTCGAGCCAATTTGCTGTCAAAATCCGAGCCAGTCGGTCAATTTTACAGTATCAATCGTGGAATAAAAAGGACAGAGGGATCACATCAATCTAACTGGCAGTGCTGCCAGAGTCAATTTTGACGTCAATGGCGTTGTTAATTGTTTATATTCGCGAAAGGAAAGTGGAAAAATGGAGAGTACTGCATGTTTTAAGCGATGGATATTGTTGTTTGTTTGCGGTTGTTTTTAATGTGTTGAGCAAACATGATGTACAAGGTGCAAAACTGCAGTAGAAACTCCAAATCATATCCAAATGAATATAGAAAATAAAAACATTTTATAATCCTGGCATCATTGATCCACTCCGTCAAACACCACGCAGAAATTTTCAAAGGGCATTCATCAAAATCATTAAGAAGTGTGAGAAACTGGATTGTCAAGTCCCGCCCCGGAGTAAACCCACATTTTGACTCAAGTATATTTTTAATCGGGGGATCCGTGCCGTGTAAAAACCCCTTGTAAAAAAAACCGTGTAAAAACATTTTTTTAATCTTCAAAAAGTTGAAATTTATTCACAGAATAAACGTTTTGCTCATTTCATTTGAATACAGCTTAAATGTTATACGATATGAGACAATGTTTACTCAACCTCTATACAAGCAAATCTGGCGAACTGGCTACTTATGGTTCTTCGGAACGGTTGGGGAAAGCTCTTATTGCATATACATTTACGCTTCTATATAGCTGTTATTCTGCATTTTAGTTGTATGTGAGCTTGAAAGGTGCTTATTCAACTATCACTACATGGCTTTACCTTTTTTCTTTTTTTTACTTGATTTGTTTTCCTTCGATCTTGTTTTCCGTGCTGAGCACCAATGCTACCGACGCCAGGAAGGCAGCTCCCACACCTGGACCCTACCACCTATCGACCCATCAACTCATGAATCGGGGACCAACGGCTTTACTTCCCTTCCGAAGGAAGGCGTGATCAGATATGTTATGCCTCAGAACATCCCGGCGGCGCCAACTGGGATTGAACCCAGGCCTGCTGGGGTGAGAGGTTATCACGCTTACCAATACACCACAGGCATCGCTGACATGGCTTTATCTTGAAACCGGGTTAAGTATTGTTTATGCTTTTTCGTTGGAGAAATTTATTGATTTTAATTTTATGCGAATCAAATTAATCGAAATTAGTTATAAGCACACCACCACCAAGTGATTACCGTGCGCTGGAACCTGGAGTCGAACTCTAGACGACCGCTAATATAAACGCCAATGTCACTTCTATGCATATATTAATCAACTTTCAACTTTTAGCTGCTAAACAAAGCTAATAAAACAAATATTTTACTTATTTGATGGCTTCTACACAACCAACCACTCTTGCTGAATAACATAAACATCAAAAGTGTTTTTCCAACAACTAAACAACCTATACTCAACTAATAAACTGTGTTAGCGCTACTTTGGAAGCTATTTTACAGTCAACTAGGTTTGTTTTTAGACGTGTGCCGTTTTACAGCTTTTACTCTGCTTCTTTACAAAGCTGAATTAACTGGTCGAGAAAAGTGATTCATGTGCACTATTATAAAGCCTCTACTCAGCGATCTTGTTGTAAAAGGGCATATAAATTTGTTAACGTCATTTCTAAGTGTTGGCGTTGCGAAGTTGGTAGTATCAAGGTTCGCCAATGCGGTCGTCTCGAGTTCCATTCCAGGATCCAGTACAGTGTAAATAATTTCAATTAATTTGATTCGTGTAAAATAAATTTAATAAATTCCTCCAACAACAAAAAAAAAAGCGTAAACAATATTTAACCTGGCGTCAAGAGAAAACTGTTTAGTGATTATTGGATAATCGGGTTGAGTAAGCGCCTTTCTTCAAGTCATACACAACTAAACAGCAGGATAACAGCTGTATAGAAGCGTAAATATA